TGTATCCAGATTGTCTCACATGCCAAAGGAGAGCCAGAAGGGTCCGTGCCATTTAAGAACTCAAGTTTTAACAACCCCAACCTGAATAGATTAATATCACAAAATCACAAATACTGTTTTCCAATGGAACACCTGCCTAAGCTTTCTCTTCAGTGCTTGCATCATGCTCACCTATACCATGTGCTAAAATCTGAAACTAGAAAATATGTCTCTAGAGGTACTTTAAAGCTCCTCCGCTCTGGCTAGGTATCTAAGATGAATGAGCAAATATACATAAGAATAAATACCATAACTTGTCTTTTATTTTTAGAAAACTCTTACAGTCAAATTAATGAAATAAATTGGTTTAAAGTCATTTTTAGAATAGGACTCTGAGCTACTAAAATGCTTTAGCTCCTAAGTTAAATTTTCCTGTTTTTAAGCATTTGACCCCAACTGGTTATTTTCATAGGTCAGAGCAATTAGCTAAGCATTTGGTTTTTATAATGTTATATTTATAAGATTGACTTAATGAAGAGAATGACTTAAATTTTCAGTTCTTCCATCATTCTTTTTGGATTAAAGGAAACAAAGCTACACGTCTCAAATTTTAGTGACAAAAAAATAGTGTGATAGAATTAGCCTTGAATGGAAAATGAAAATATTGCGTGTAAGTCTTGACCATACTTTTGATTACTTTTGCGATCTTGGGAAGTCACTTCACCTCTCTGGGGACTCATCTTGCTCATCTGTAAAATGAGCACATGGACTAGTTGTTCTCCAAAGTGCTTGCTAGCTGTAACACCTACAATTCTTTGACTTTTTTTTTTTTTTGGCAAGGCAATTGGGGTTAAGTGACTTGCCCAGGGTCATACCGCTAGTAAGTATCATGTGTCTGAGGTCAGATTTGAACTCAGGTCCTCCTGACTCGAGGGCTGGTGCTCTATTCACTGCGCCACCTAGCTGCCGCTTCTGAGTTATTTTCAGTGTAGAGAGGTGAAAGGAGAGTTAAGACACTGTCAAATGATCCCAAGTCCACTTCACACCTACTTAGTCTTAGTGCTATTTGAACACTTAATCAGTCAGTCTTGGATTTTAGGGCTTTAGAACTTAGCAAGTCCAACCCCTCTTATTAAAATGGGGTAAGTGGGACGCACTGATATGCTTAGTGTCACACAGGCACTAAGTACGGGAGCCAGGATTTAAAATTGGATTCTGTGATTCCCACTCTAATACCCTTGCCCGTCAGCATGAGTGTAGGAATTCTGAAAGACTGAGAAGTGTTACTTTATACACAAATTCCTGAAACGTGTCCTGCTTTTGCACCACAGTCTGGCTCTAAGCTTCCTTTCTGGTCTTATCTTACAATTCTGTCCTACATTTTAGCCAAATTGGACTTGTATGAAGTTGTGGTTTCCTGTTGACAGACTTCTTTTGCATTTCAGCTTTCCTCTGTTTCTGGAATGAATCCCTTTCCCATTTCTTCCCATCTCTCTCTGTTGAGATCCCTCCTTTCCTCTAGTCCTAGCCCATTAACCAGCTGAGTGGCTGAACAGTCAGAGTGGAAGGAGGACTGGACTTCGGATTAGGATGGCCTGTGTTCAGATCCCTCCTGCTTGTTGAGGGGCAAGCTGCTCACTGCCTCATCGTCGCAGTCTCCTCAGCTGTGAAATGAAAGAAGCCGCATTGTCTTCAAGGGTTGTCGTGAGGATCAGTGAGATGATGTGTGAAAAGTACTTGACAGACCTCATCATGCTGTGTGAGCACCAGCGGTTATTCCAGGGTGATTCTCCCCCAACAAATTCTGGCCGTGATCCCTCCATCCTCCACCCTGAGGCCATCTTGCTGCTCCGAAAGCCATAGGTCTGACAGCGTCTCCTTCCTGCCCCTTCCCTCATCCCTAACGGGTAAAATATAAATGCCTTCATTTGGCTTTTAAAGTTCTTGACAATCTGGTTCCAGACAACCTCTCCAGGCTGGTTATCTGTGGCTTCCCATCATGCATGCCACCTTCCAGCCAAACTGGGGCTGGCTGCTTTCTCTTCTGCTTCCATATCACTCTATCTTCTGTCTTCCCATCTTTGGGCAGGCGCTCTCCCATGCCTGGAATGTGCTTCCTCCTCTGAGTTGTCCTTGTTCTCCTGGGCCATGCAGAATTCCTAGCTTCCTTCAAAGTTTAGCACAAGGGCCGTTTCCTACAGGAAATATGTCCTGATTCCCCCCTTTTCCTGGAAATTACTCTCTATCTATGTGTGTGGGTATGTTATAAATAGATGTATATATGTGTATATTACATATATATATACACATGTATAACTACTTTATATATATGTATATTTGTATAAAATTTATATATGTATATAAAGTATGTATGTGTGTATATATATATATGTAGTATTCTCTTTTCTGTGTATGTTTTGCTTTCCCCCAACAGAATGTAAGCCGCATGAGGGCAGGGACTCTTCTACTTTGGTCTTTGGTCTCTGGGCACCAAGCTCAGTACATATTATAGGTATTTAGTAAATGCTTCTTGTTTCACTATGGATATGTTATTTAACCTTTCAGTGCCGCTAGACAACTCTCTAGGGCTCTAAGATGCAGATGAGTTGTTGATCTTCATAGGGGGAGGAATTTTTATGCCAGGAATCCCCCCAGAATTATACTGTAAGCTCAACAAGTGTATCTCTTGCATCTTATTTTATTCCATGAAGGTATTTACTGTACCTAACAGTGTGACATTGACGGAGATCGAGTCTGAGGGATTAAAGTGGATGGAAAGCAGCTCTTGGGAACTTGTATTGACATTCCACCGTAGCCAATAGTGATTACATATATTTGTGTTGCCTCTTAGAGACTGCAGAGCACTTGTATGTGTCCTGTCTCTGTTGGTTCTCACAATAACCCCGTGGGGCAGATGAAGTATCATTTCACAGCCTTAGTTTTGTTTTTTTTTTCCTATAAAATGGGAATAATAATAGCATCTACCTTCCAGGGATGGTGTGTTGAGGCTCAAATGAAATAGCATATATATAAAGTGTGTTGCAAACCTTAAAGCACTCTATCAACACTATTATCATTATATAAATATAATATATAAATAGCTATTATCATTATTACTCTTATTCTTTTTAGAACCCAAGTTTCCTAACCCCAGGGCTCCTTCCATTGTACTAGGCCACCTCTGTCTCCCATTGTTTCCAATATATATGTCCCTGGCCCTGTGACAAATAGGCAAGAGAAGGGGGCTGAAGCAAGGGATCCTGTAAAATCACTTTGAAAGCTTGCACAATCTCAAGCAGTCCTTATTTTCCTCCCCAGTGGTGTAGCTATCCGCCTAAATGTGAGTATAGTCTTTAGAAGGCATCAGTATCTTCTGTGACAAAGAAACCCCAGCCTTCATTAGATTTTTCTGCAAAAATTCATTTCTAAAATTGCAGCTGTGTCCATTTTCTCTCAAAAACATTTTTGATGTAAGTTCCTAAGGCACCATTTGTAGAGGTACCAGCAGATAAAAGCAGAGCTTTTTAGCCCTGGAATATCTGTGTTGCTAAAATGAAAAACACCTGCTATAAGTCACCTTTCCAGCCATTAAATTACACAAATACATTCTTAAAGCAAACTTCACCAACTCCTCAAAGGGAAAAAGAATAGCTTTCTAATTTGATTTTTCTTTCTCATTAACTATACAAAGAGATCACAGATATCTGAGAAGCCAGGCATCTGAAATTATAAGTCAGTTCCCTACCCTACTCCTGCTGCCCTACCAATAATCTCTATTTTTACTACCTTAGCCTACAGTAAATGCTAAGAGCATCTTGCATTTCTCTTAGGAAAATGTCTGTAATCTCCCGAGTCTAGCTAGCATTCTTCCGTGGGAAAACGTTCAGGAACTACAGGATCCATAATTCTTTTGTCTACATGCCCTACAACCAAAAAAGATCTCAGCCTGGACCTGCCAGAGTAGACTTTGTGAGTTAATATGAGTTGCTGTGGCCAATCTGATGATGAGCCTTAGACCTGGGACAATAGACATTCATTCTGCTGCTTGATCATTTCTGTTTATAGGTCTAAACTCTTTCTATTCTGTCAAGGCCCTCCTGTTTGCAGTATAATTTACCCAGAGCTAGAGCAGATATTTAGGGCAGCTGAGCAACTTTCAACTAAAAATTTTTCTTAAAAAAAAAAAAAAAACAAGAATAGGGGCAGCTAGGTGGTGAAGTAGATAGAGCACTGGCCCTGGATTCAGGAGGGCTTGAGTTTACACCCGGCCTCAGCCACATAACACTTACTAGCTATGTGTCCCTGGGCAAGTCACTTAACCCTACTGCCTAGCCAAAAATCAAAACAAAACAAAAAAAAAATAGAATTGGAACTCAAAATTTTAAGGAAAAATGTGACATTCAGTTTCAAAAAAAAAATTAAATGTTTGCCTATTATTAGTTACCCTTTTATATGTTATCCAAATAATTGTACTTAGCTCTTAATGTGTTTACCTCCAAATTATCTCTAAAATATTTATCCCTGCATTATTCTCTCTCATTTTGTGGTACAAAGGATATGTATAGTTTGTTTTATGGGCCCTAATGTCGGTTATCGAATAAAAATCAAAGAGAGCTGAGTGCTTTGGGACCACTAAGCATTTTAAGAGATCTTCCTTATCATCTTCTTGTAGATTCTTGGGATTTCATTTCATACACCTGCCTCTCACTAGCAAAAACATAATTTATAATAACCTGCCTCCAGTGAGTGTGGAGCTGTTTGTGAAATTCATTGAATATTTATTAAGCAATTTTTTTCTGAATTTTATTGCTTAATATTGGTTGAGTATATGAAACCACCACTAAATTATGAAATTCACAGACTAGGCCTGCTCTTTTTCCCTACCTCCTGACAGATTTCTGTCATAGACCAAAATCAGATTATTTTTGTCTCTTTGTGGTGTTCCAACCTGTTTGAGCATGTTGGGAGTTTTATTCTTTAGTTTTGTTTTTATTTGAATATCTTGATGTTTTTTATTTTAGGAAGAAGAATTAGAAGCTCAAATTTCATTTCTCCAAGGACAGCTGAATGACCTGGAGGCCATGTGCAAATACTGTGCGAAGATGATGAACACACACCTGGGTGCGTGAGTACTCTGACTTTAGCCCTGGGAAAGACACCTTTCTGAGCGTTTGCGTACTTCAAACAAACAGTGTTTGATGATTGATTAGTGTAAAGCTTCAGAGGGCAGGTCATCAGCTCTTGTGCTGGTGAAGTTTACCTGTCTCTCAGTGATGCCACCTGAATTTTCTTCCTGCCATTAGATTCCAGTGCACCTTGTGTCCCAGTGTCCATTTGGGGTGTCTGACTGGGGCTCCTGGTTCATAACTCATTTTGTACATGTGCTGTACAACTCTCTTATAAAAGGGTCTTCCTTAATTAAGCTAAAATGTATGCCTCTTGGGATACATGGGCTCTCTTGGGATGTTCCTTCACCCTGTTCAGCCGTGGGTGTGTGAATTCAGTAACTCTAGGACAGCTGTGTCCTGATGCAGCTGCCCTTGCCCCGACACAGCTTTCTCCCCACACACAACCCCTATACAACTTCCTTCGGCGCCAGATTCTCCAGTGAAAATTCATCTCTTCCCAAAACCTGGTTGGCCCCAGCTTCTCTGACACAGCTTCCAGGGCTGCAGCCAATAAAAAGCCCAAGCCATGTGGGCTCCAAGCCTCTCAGACTTTTGGGGTACCCACTATACCACAAGTCCCTGTGCACCCTGATGATTGACCAACTAGACACATCAGGATGAGGCGGGCTAACCCTCAACATTCCCTTGTTGCATGGCCTTGCTGTGTGGGCAGAATCAGACTCCTCCGTTGTTAAACCGTCAGGGACTCTCGAGTGCTTCATTTTGTCCCCAAATCGAACTTGAACCAAGAGTGTTGGCTCTGACCGCAGAGAATGTCGAGCAGCCCCGAGCCAAGCCTCCATCTTTGTTTCCCCTGGTTCACAGTGTCCACTGTCATCCCTGTAGGAACTCTTTCACAGTAATGACTTTGCTAAAGACCAGAGCATGGACCAACGCCCTTGTTCCATCAGCACGGGAGCGTATGAATTCGCCTTGGCTTGGTCCCCTGCCTTTTCCCACCTTCTGGCCTTCCCTTTCTGGTTTTCCTTTTGAGTTCATCATCATACACACAAAAAAACCCAACAACTTTTTTGAGTGTTAATTTAGTGTGATCAAATCCCTGCCTTGAGTAGGAGGACTTCAGAGAGACGTAACAATGTTTTATGGAATCCATACATCCACACAGAGCCTGTGAGAAAAGTCATCTACTCATTTCAGATATAAAAACCACAGACTTAGAGTTAGGAAGAACTATAGGATCATCTGGTCCAACCTCCTCATGTTACAGGTGAGGGAACTGAGGCTCATGGAGGTGCCCTGCCTTGGCCTGGGTCACCAAGTTGTCAAGTAAAGAGTCAGGATTTAATCCCAGGTCCACTGATTCCAAACCCAGTATTGCCACTGCCTTTCTTCCCTTATATATGGAGGCTTGGAGACATTAAGAAACTTGCCCAAAAGACACAGTCCCTACCATCAAGAAGCTTATAGTCACTTTGGAGTACATCTCAGAAGATGCCTAGTGATGCACAGTAACCTATGGTAAGTGCCAGTGTGCAGACTGTGGGCGCCCTAGGAATTCAGAGAAGGAACAGCTCATCCTGGGCTGGCCAGTGGGAGAAGGCATCATGGAGAATGAGCAGCTTGATTACAGGGCTAAGGTAAGCATGGGGGAAGGAATTCCTGAAGAGGGAAGAAATCTGACATACCCTCTTCCTTATTGTTGCTTACAGCCATCCTTTCTTTTGTACTTTGCATATATTATGGTTATTTTTGTATGTCTTACAATAGCCTTCCTTTACCCACAATAAATTACAGACTCCATGGGAACAGGGACTGAATATTGTCTCAACTTAATATTTTATCTCCTGCCTGCCTCAATATTCTGCATGCAATAGGTACTTCAGAATGTTTATAGAATTAAATTGTAGAAAGGTACCACGGCATCAGATTTTAGAAAGCTTTGAATGCCAAGTAATAGAGGTTTAACTTTACTCTGTAGACATTAAGGAGCTTTTAAAGGGAGTTGAGGAATAACTGATATAAGGAAGAATAATCTGGTCCAAGTTTAAAGCATGGTTTGTGAAGGCAAAGAGACTCGAGGAAGGAGGAGCTGTGGTGAGCAGGGGCCTGGACTAGGGGATGGCAATTAGAGAGGAGGGATGGACGGAGATGTGCTGGAGCGGGGATTGGCAGGCCTTATAACTGATTGGACACCATTGAGAGGTGACGGAGAAGGAAGGGTCAAAGATAGCAAAGGTTCGAACGTGGGAGCCAGAATAAACGATGGTGCCCCAGGCAGAAATAGTGAAGTTCCAAGGAAGAGCAGACTTTGGGAAGAAGACAAGGTTCAGCTAAGAGCTCAGCGAGTCTGAGGGCATCCTGATAAGGATCACTTACGGGCAACTGGAGGTTCAGATCCACAGCCAAAAAGAGTTGGCAGGGCTGGAGATGGTGGTGCTCTGTCATCATCTGCATTGGGAAGATGGCTGAAGTCGTGTCAGTGTATGAAGTTGGCTGGAGAGAGAAGGAGGGGGCAAGAATAAGTAAATGGGCAAAGGCCGAGGAACATGGGAATTCAGGTTCAAATGACAGGAACGAGAGCGTTGGGGTGAGGAGGAGGAGAGGACCCAGGTATAGCAGAAGACTTGGTAGGGGTAGGATTTCAAAGCAGGGATGGGGGGTGTTTTAAGTGCATATCCCAGATGAAGGGGCAGAGCCCCCACAATTCACATGATTCACAAGGGCCATTCCCTTCATTCTAACATTATCCCTGGGTTATCAGAGGTACTGGAAGTGCAAGGCCCACTGCTCCAGGCTCCAGGGCCCACTGCTGCCCCACACAGCTGCAGATCTGCACTGGTAGACAGATGAAAGCACAGGTTTGTTCCTCCAGAAGTTATCCTAGGAACAAAATGACCAGTAATCCAAGTATTTAGTTTAAATTTTACAAATTTTATAAAAAAGATAGCCAGAGTGGAAAGGATGCTGAATGGGGAGTCAGAGGGCTAGGAGTAAGATTTCTCCTCACTGCTGAGTCTGTAGACACCTGAGCTGGTCAGTGATGCCCTTTAGACCTCAGCTGTCTTACCTAAAAGATGGATTTGAACTCCATGGCCTGTTCAGCCTCCTTTAAGATCTCAATCCATGATCCTACAAGTGGCATTCTTGTAGAGGAATAAGGAACTCATCATCTGCCTCCTTCCTCTCTGCTCCCAGTCGCCCAATCTCCCATTTAAAGAGCTAGTTTAGAGGAGCAAAGGAGCCGCTGCCCTTACTGCTCCGCCGGTGCCTAAGAACTGCTCTAACTAGCTCACTGGGACAGTCTGTCCTCAGGACCTCTGTTTCCCAGAACGTCAGATGACCCAGACTGTCCTCTAACAAGTGGGAGAAGCTTCCTGAGAGCCCTGAGAAATGTCCCTTGAAAGGGCTGCCTGACTCCCTGAGTTCAGAGCCTGAGTCAGGCGACCTCCCTGGGCCCTTCCTGCCTTTCCGCTGTCAGCCTCTCCATAGTTCGGCTTCCTTCAGAAAGATGGGCCTTGGACGCAGAGAGCTCACATAGGAAGGAACACTCACTGGCTGATTAGTCTACACTCACTTAATTCTCTCAGGTCACAGCACCAAAACCCCTGCCCTTGAGCGCATGATTTCCCGCAAGCCTTTGTCAACATGAAGCCTTCAACATCTGTCTGCCCTTTAGGATGCTTTTCATAACTTGTAAAGAAACAAAAAAGTTTATTAGAGGCATCTTGGGAGAAAGAGAAAACATTTTCCATTTTTAAGCGGAACAAAAATGAAGAAACAGACATCGGAGGGTTTGGTCTCCATGTTCTTTTCTAGTCCTGCATTTCTTGATTTTGGTTTGGACCAGATTGGCAGAGCAGAGAACCGACTGCGACCAAGAGCTTCCGGACATCAAAGCAGAACATGCTGTTGGGAGTTCCATTGTATTTGACACACCTAGCCACCTTCAAAAACATTTTAACAGCCTCAGAATTTTCAGAGCACTTTTCCAGCAATTTGGGCCTTTTAGTTAGCACAGAAAGGCAGCTCAGGGGCAAGTTAACTTAAAATGGAAGCCTACTGACCATGCATCTTCACCGGACCACAAGACCAGATGCGTTTCTGTGTCTCCCTTTCAGTCAGAATTGTCACACATAGCCATGAGCAAAGTCTTTCTCTCTGCCATTAAAATACAAATCATTTGGCTTCACTTTCTTGCCTAAGCCAGGCATAGGCCTAATATACAGAATCCCTAACTTTGAGCCTTGCAGATGCAATCCAGTTAAGATTTCTGTGTCCAAGATGGATCAAAAGATGCCCCCCTAGTGATGCTCATTGGGGATATAAGTTAGCAGAAGACACAAAGCTGGGAGAGATAGCTAAGATCCAAAAAGACAGCCTAAAGCATTGAGTGAAACTCAGTAAGGATGAGGGCAGGAAGAGGGAACAAGCATCTGTGAAGCACCTTCTATGGGCCAGGCCCTGTGCCAAGCACTTTAAGGTTTACGAGTTCAGGAGGGAAGTAGTTTGACTCACACGGCAGCCAGGTGGCGCCATAGTGCATAGAGTGCTGGTCCTGGAGTTGGGAAGACATCCTCCCAAGTTCAAATCTAGCCTAGACTCCAAGTGAGTCTCTTCACCCTGTTTGCCTCAGTTTCCTCATCTACAAAATGACACGGAGAAGGAAATGGCGAACCCTTCCAGGGTCCTTGCCCAGACAGCCCCAAATGGAGTCACAAAGAGTTGGACACAACTGAGAAACAACAAGTTTGACTCAAAATTAATGTCCTTCACACTCTATAGAATCAGTACTGTAACAGCAGTCAAGAAAAGGCAGTTCCGTCTTGGGTTCTATTAAGAAAGGGCTAGACTAGAGCTGGAACAGTGAGCCAGTCCAGGGTCCTGTAGCCTAGGCCAAATTTGGAGATGGGACAGGAATGAGAAGGCGGTTAAGAGTGAATTAGACATTTTCAGATACAAGAAAACTTTATTTAGAAATGTGAGGACCGTTCG